CTCTCAACATCTTCCTGGTCAGATGACACATCTTCGTAGGCGGGGCGGGATTCATTTTTTCACAAGTCAACCATGTCGCAAATAATTTAAAGGGTGGCTGAATTAAAAAAAAACAGAAATTTATATTCGACCCCTGTAGTTTTATAAATCTTTTGATAGCATTAAAGCTATTTAAGCTAGTAGCTTGCTAGTAGCGTGGTAGCTTGACCATATTTTAGGCTAAGCTAAGTTAAGCTAACAAGCAAAACGCGAAGCTAAGCTAACAGTAAATAGCTTTGCTTTTTCTAGCTCAGTCGTCAAATAGCTTAGCTTTTTGTTAGCTTGTAAAGCTAGCTGCCAACTATATGAACAACTGTACAAACTAGATGTAGCACTGTGAATATTTCTAATAACCGATACATCGGTATTGTAAAGATGATGTTGTATCGAAAAATGGATGGGACCGTTGTACATGTGAACTGCGTTACAATTTTATCATAAGATATAGTAAACGTATATTTTAGTATTAGTCCGGGTAGCAATCACTCACTCTGGATATAGCAATGCTTCCGAGACTCCTAATGATGGTAGATGCTTGCTTCTGATAGAAGCGCACGAAATCAAACTCAGTGCGTTTATCAACGCGGACTCTTGGAGTCAGAGCTTTCTTTGTATAAGTGTAAGGCAATTTTGCTGCACTAGTAATGTATGTATTCCACGGACTACTCAATTTGGAGTGCTACCACATTCATCCGGTTACGAGTAGGTAACATCAGAAACGTATAACATGATAGGGTTTGCACAGTGTATTGCGAATATGTTCAACAATCTTTAAACATTTGATACAAAGGGACAAGACGAAGGGAGAATTCGAGCTGACATGAACTGTTGCAAATTTGCACCATGTATGCATTTAGGCAATAAGGTAATTAAAAACTACCGTGAGCCTTTATCCAGAAAATATAATTACTTGAATAATCGAACAATGCACCGCGTCAAGCTGTCAACGCAATTATCCGCGCTCAACAGATCATTGTGAAATTATTTAATGTGCTACGTGACTTCATTAGCTAATAAATGAGTTTTTTCGACCACTTGAGATCCAGACGGTCGACCGGATCATTGCGCTGCACGTTAAGGAGAAAACATCCCCTAAAAAGTTATGTCGTTGAAATGGAGGTGCATCGCCTTACAGCAGCCATTGCTGAACCCATCGCAGGTGTTTAAGATCTCGGGATGGAATTTCGATAGAGAAAATGTGTTAAGATGGTAGATTGATGCTTTGTTGCTGATATGTAGCTTATGAAAAGCTGTCCCTGCGATCAGAAACAATTAAGTCAATTGATCGTATGTAAGATACACTGCATTTTATAGGCTGGACGAATGTTTGGTATTTTGCTTCAGTGAATGTTCATTCATTATATTTATTAAAAATGCGTCCAGTATCTCGCAGTGCAAGGCAAGGTTGTGACGTCGTGAGGGGAAATTTCGTGAGATCTGTTATCGACTACTTTGACGAATCTGTCAAAGAAGGCAAATAACGAACAAGGTGTCTGTGTAACGCCATGTTGAAGCACATAAAGTCACTGAAAATCACCGCACAAGTGAATACCAGGTGCAGGAACACTCAAACAATTTTCAGTCTCCCACTTAAATATAGCACAATAGAATAAACCTAGCGAGGATCGCTCGTCAAGATGTCGGATGAAGGTGTCTAAAAGTCAGCGCAAGAGTAATCAATACTGTTCTGAGCACTGGACATCTCCGTGCATGGCTGTGTCAACATATTATTGCAAAGATTACCTCCGAAATCATCAGCAAAGAAGTACATTGGAATGTTGAAAGTGCTATTCGAGCGCTCTGATGGAAAATTGAAGCAGTTGCGGTTGGCACGACCCATACAAACGCATACGCTGAAGACAACTGCAACACTAGGGTGTGCAGTTGTCAGATTATTTATCAATCCAGTGCTTTATATCGTAAATGTAGGAAGCTGGTGATTGTGATCGGGCACTCACACGATCGAAACGCAAAACAAATGCAAGCGACCGAAGCAGGGATCGATAACTTGGAGCGAGTCGCGAGAAATTTTGCAAAATCGAGTGGTGTGTGTCCTTAACCTCAAGTGTATTAGATTGAGCAACTGCTTACAAGGTTAGGTTCTCTTCCTCACGTGATCGATGACGAAAGTTAAAAGTGCAGAGCATGGTGCTGTACATCACATCTGAGCCCGGTATAACCACCATTTACATGGATGGTAGCAAAAGTACGTAAATTTGGCAAGTGATGGGATGTGTGGAACGTTATAACGCCAAAACTAATTCACTACTGACAAGTTCGGTGCGTTGATGTTTATTGCCTAGACAGAAAAGTGGGCTTCGGTTTGTGCACGCAGATCATGAACAACAGCTCAACTGCTCTTCTTCACAACTGCAAGCTTAGTACTAACCCATGCTGCCTTAAAAAATCGCACATCGTGACGGTTTGATGATACAAGAATTGATGTCAAAACCACAAGGTTGCGAACCGAGACGTCATGATGACATCACGTACACTATTGAATATATCGAGCATCATTTAAAACGGTACAATAAAGAAGCGACAGCTTGTTTGACACATAAGGACTATACTTTAGTAAAAAGCGCTTTCGGTATTATTCTGACATCATCATGTTCACATATTCAACGTAATTGATGTTGCCGTGCTGATCAGGCTCGAGCTGTATATAAGACGGCGTCAAACTTACGTAGTTCGTTATCTGTGTTGCTGTTCTCGCTTACCTGGCTAATAAGTTCCTGGGCCTGGTCAGACGATATACAGTCTGCTCCGTACGTTGTGAGAGCCACGAGCAGTTTGTCGGCTTTGATAACTCCTGGAGCCGATGTATTGCCTTCAAAAGCTTTAAACGCATCTTTAACTTGCCCAGCAGAATAGGTGGCATTGACCTTCCTTGACATGACAGCCACGAACTCGTCAAAGTCAATCTCACCATTACTATCTTGGTCGATTTCGTTGATCATGAGATCGATCTCTTCCGCAGATGTGTCGATACCTAAAGTGTCCATAAGTTCTCCCAGCTCGAATTTCGTAATCGAGCCACCACGATCCTACAAATGCGATTATAATATGGTCAGAGATAAATGCATACGACGCAGGGATGTTCGAGAAAGGAGACATACTCTATCAACAAGATTGAAGATCTCGCGATACTCAATTAATTCTTCTGAGGTCAAAGTATGACTCATGTCGAACTCAATTCCAAAAAATATACTAGACCGGTTTTGGAATAGTGATTCTAGCAAGCTATCAATACCACGGCAAGCGCAAAAATAAGTATTATATATATAAACTTACTTCGCCGCGATATTACTTTGGTGTTGTGGCGGAAAAACATTTACTGCAATACGCCGTACGCTTGTCGACCAACAAGCAGTCAACAAAGCTTGTGATGTCATATCACGAAGTTTGTGGGAAAATCAAATAAACGCAATTGGACTTGTTGAAAGCTCTTTCAGCTGCAATGATATCCCACTCTTGCTCGAGCAAAGTTTTGTTTTGAACAGCTTTCCACGCATTTGGGATTTGCATTGCTGCGGCTGCTTCCTGTTCATACCTCACAAGCTACGTCACTGTTTTGAATAATGCTGGAGATAGGAAGAGATTATGTGGCATGCGCATAGGTATTGCCACACTGTTGAAACTTGGTGACGAGCGGTGGCACCCTGACTGAGTTTTCGCGGACTATTTGTATATGCTTACTTCAGCTTTTCCAAATCCAAGCTCCAGCTGAATGGAGGTTGCAGCTTCGATTTGTCGCGGCGTTGCCTTTTTTGAACTGCACATACACATCGACTCCACATTGTTCGTGTTCGTGTTTTGCTCGTACTAAGTGACTCGCTGTCAGCGATAAATAAAGTATTGCGTTGGAATACCGTAACGAATTGTTTTGAAACAAAAGAAACGACAGGCACGTAAAGGATTAACAGCGCCAACACAATAGCCAGCTGCTCCGACCTTCCATTTCTTCCAAGTTTGTAGCTTGGTGTAGTTGGATGTACCCGTTATCCTGTAGCGGTCTGTTTGGAGCAATGTACGAGTCAATATTTTGTCTCGTAAAATTTTAACTATATTTACTTAGTTAGCAACTACATGGTGCTTAAAGCTCGCGATGTTACCACGTCGAAGTCGAAGAATAGACTGGCTGCTTGGAAAAAATGTGTTGTGAAATGGCTTTGAGAACCCGATGATAATACCATTCATCAAATTTGTATCCATAAGCTCAGCAAATTGCTCGCAGACACTTCTAAGATCTTCCGCTTGACCTACTCCAGCATTCTTTCCGACTTTTTTCTCATGAACGGCTGTCTTCTTGGTTCTTGAACACCATTGTTTCTTCCTTTGGCCCTGAGCGAAGTTTCAATAGTTTGACTGGTATCTGCGACGGCTTCATCACCAACATAATACTCAAAGTTTAAATCTTTTCGATTACTGCTTTTTGCATCGCTGTAAGCAAATTGCCTGAATGCCTCTGAACCGCTGCAATCATCTCCACTGAAAATGGTCAATTTGAAAGGCTTTGCGCCTCTGACACAAGCAAAAGCTCTCCACTCTAATCATTTCTTGCTCGCATGGAATAAGCGAAATGATCTATAATATGACAGTCTTATGCCTTTTCAAGCACGCTGCTATTTAAGCTTCTATCTCCTCTTTCGCATTAGCTCAGACGACGTCGCAAATCGGTCGCGACGTCTTTTGCGTCATTCTACATCCACGACGCAGATACCGCTCCATACTATTTTCTTAGTCACCATAAGTTATGCGACGTGGTTCCGATCTTCGCTTTCAGCAAAATTGTCGAAAACATACTGTCTAATTGATAGACTGTTCCATTGCTCAAGCTCACCTTGATAAAAATACTTTGTGGTTGCGACAGAAGCTTGAAAATTGCGCAGGCCTTTTTTTTAGTTAGCACAACTAGCAACATTGGCAACGGGAGCCAAGTCGGTCTTTTGTCGGACATAGAACAGGTCTTCAGTGTCGCGGATTCGATGCTTCGCTCGATGGGGTTGTCGGAAGCCTACGCCTACACGTGCTGTATATTGACGCGACAGTTCAAAAGCCAGAAAGCATTTCCATAAACCAACACAGTCATGCTAATTAGATGAAACTGAGTTTTTGGGAGAGACTCCCCAAACCAGCAAAAGCTGTCTATTTTCCATCAATCTTTAGAAATCGCGCTTTAGCGAAATGCAGAAGTATAAAGAAACAGAAAATGTAGCAACCCACATATGTATCGAGCTCATTAATTATGTAGCTGGTCTAAGCAATGCAGATGTGTATATACTGTTTGAGCTTCCGGTCATTTTGGCTACCAACGGTAATCAGCAGGGCACGGACACTCATGTTCAGCAATTTCGCAGATTTAGTGGTTCAATCTAGCACTTGCTTCATATTGATTTAGATTCCATCGCTTTACATCATGCAGCTTCAGCGTTGTTGGGTTCATGGTGTGTTAACTCAATCACTAGATCACACATCAAGTCAGCGACCAGCAAGCAATTTAATGCTGCGAAGTTGCCACGCATCTTGCACAGAAAAACTTGGCTAACTGGGTACATACTGTGCGTCTATTTCCCTATACTTTATATGTCCACACGGTTGTGCATATGCAATCAACGCACGGTTGTACGGAATTCACAGTATTTGTGAGTCAAGCAATGAAGAAATTGTGATTGTGGGATGTAGTAAAACAAGTATATTTTGTATTAAAAAATAATTTTTAATGAACATATCACTCTTGACACGCAATTTGCACACAGGAAGCTTGGATTTAAAGTGTTCGAGTTCACAAACGTACAGAGATTAGGTTCGTACGCTCCAACAAGGAGCAGAACCAAGAGTCTGTAGCGTAAATTTCAGTCAAGTTGGCTCTGCTGCAGCGGGGCTGCCGTAGCTTAGCGCTTGAGGAAGCGTACTTTAGGTCACCGACCTTTCGTTTTTTACAAGAACCAAGTATGAGTTAGCGGATCGCAATTCGCTTACTTCGAGAGTAATTGTTGCCTTCCCAAGGCTGATTGACTCTTTGGTATGAATTCAAAACTGATTTTTATTTAATTTTTCATCCTAATTTTAAACGTTTATATTTTCCTTAATATACTAGTAAACTCTAAATACATGCATAACTACTGGCTACCTAGCGCACATACCGTTTTCTTGTTTGGGTGCAGTCACACCATGCACATCTCGTGTGACACACACACCCCTGTTACCGGGGTACGTGTAATCCCGTTACATCTACTATAACAAGAGTGTTATCTAAGTATATTTGGACTAATGTGGTTGTGTAATGAGTCTGTTTCTGTTACTCGACGTGCGACTCTCGGTCGACGTGCGCCACAAACCTTCCTTTAGAAATTTCTATCATTTTCATGGAAATAGATAGCTCGATAATTGTGAATATACACAAGTACAATGAAATTTGCGTTCAATTATGTAGTATTGCAATTTTACAATAGCATCAAATATTGAGGTTTCAGGACTCAAGATTACAGTACCTTAGTACTCCATCTCCACTGAGATTTGAATCACACGGGGCTTCAGACTTGTTTTGTTCTTTAAGACACTGCACAAAAAACGATAATCCCACGAGTAATCACTGCGTTTAAGATCCAGCTCCAACCTCTGCGCTTGACCGTGCCTTCTCCTTAAAGCATACTTGCATCGCGTCCACTCAAACAAATGCAACAGCAAGCTTCCGAGATAGGCGCGGCCCCCTCAACCGATGCACTATAAGCAATTTTCTTCGATGAGGACGTCGCAGTAACTCTCCAAGTCCTAACCAAGCTCAACCGCTCTCACTTATTGACAAACGGTCTAAGAAGTTATGGAGTAGGCGCTCGCATCCTTGTGCACAACTTAGGTAATTTTTGCTCTTTTTCGTCAGCAGAAAATGATGTTACATCCCACCGTGGACTCACGACGATTTACAAGTCATCATGGACGAGCTAGATTCGGCTTTGGGAGCTGAACTTGCTAAACGCAAGAGTAACGCCGACTTTTGCTGTGACGGAATTACATGTCCTAGTACAGACAGTTACTGAAGGGCTAGGTCAATTGACACGCCACATCGCGTGTTGCTAACTTCCAGCGAGCCGTTGACTTACGTAAGGAGGAGAAAAGGTGAAGTGACATTTATTGTTATAGCCAATAGACTTAAACCCTCTCTAATATGATAAGTTCCTCCAACCCAGATACAACAGGAATAAAGGGTGTATACAACTATACAGGGTGAACAATTAATAAAGAAAGACGTGCAGATTATGTGGTCCACACATTATGTGTAATGGGACCTGGTTCATTACATCACCCCACAGTCAAAAGTGGTTGACCCCAATTCTATTAATTTTCCTGAATTCTTCTTCAAATTCTTCGTCACGCTCGTCGTCACGCTCTGTCCAACTCTCACTAGAGTGACAAGCAATACGCTTGCTCAACATGGTATCGTCCCTACCATCGAACTTAAATTATGTTTAGTACCACGTCATCCAGCGCATTTTCGCTATCGTGAACTTGATCGTCATGATGACTTTCATGACCGCCTTGGTGGCTCTAACCTAGACCTGACGAACTTTTTAGTCGAATTGGCGCTCACTTGATGAATCACTTCGCGTATTTTTACGCCATCGGACCGATTTCCCGTGCCGGAGGTGAAACACGAAGCTTCACGTGTGTACCAAACGTCCAGCTATCCAATCTGAGTTTCATCCAGACACTCAACGCTCGATTCTGGGCATGGGCTTATGCAACTAAATACGTGGATATTCACCGGTTGCAGAGCGCGAGCACCACTGCAGACTTATCGAAGGTACGCATTATCCGATTTCGATTTACACATTTGACAGCGCAGAATCAGGAATGCTCATGAAGTACGTTCGGTCATCAGTTGAATTAACGACACGAGGGAGAAAGGAAGAAAAGCAAGGGAGAGCTTCCCGAAGCGGAGTTTGTCTGTGGACCCGCATCGAACGCGCGAACGATGTTGGGACAGTCGCGAAGAGTGAGAATATGAGGTTCCTACGTATTCTTGTTCGCTGGATACCCCATCCATTGCACCAAGAGCTCTTTCCGATCGCGGACGTTCCTCTGTTCTCGAAGTGGTAGTATCGATCTCCCTGTCGATCTAGAATAGGGGGGAGGTGCCCGGAGAGGGTGCCCATCTGCTTCTTCTGTGGCTGGTCCACAGTTT